TTGTTGATGGTCATCCACCCCATACACACAGCGCGACACTACACACCACCATCTTGCAGAACGATCAACACACACACGCACAACGGCGGAGAGGAGAACAGTGACCGTCTCCGGAGTGACTTTGTGTGGTGGTGGTGGAACTAAACAGATGAATCCAACGTCGTATAAATAGAACGAGATAACCACCATCAACACCGCCATCCACGACAAAGAGGGACGCACCAGTCGGCGACGTCGTTGGGTGTGAGGTAGTAGGGTCGATCATCCGGACCCTCCATTGGTGGTGGCTCGCCGGAGAGCGTTCACCCGGGGTTGCTGTAGTGGTGGAAGTGAGTGTGGTCTCAGAAAGTGGGAGTGCTTCCAGAGCAATGATGAGGTGTGGCGGTGTTGAAGGGGAAAACGAAAAGGCCAGTGCCGCGGAGGGCTCCGGCAGCGGAGACCGGGGCATGTCCGAGGAGCGTTTGCTGAACGGTCGAGACAAGAAAATTTTAGTGGCAATCTTCCAATTGGCCCCGCGCAGACCGCGGCGGATTTGCCCCTGCGTCGGTTGGACGGAAAATGTTGCACAAGTTATACGAAACCCTCCCGTTGGTAGATGTTGTGCGAGGAGAGCGACCCGTGGACAGACAACTGGATGCTCGGCCACCAGGTCTGAATTGACTCTAAACTGCACTTCGTCTGAGTATTCTTCTGTGGCGGAGTTGGTGCGCTCCAGTCGGCTTCGGCCACACAACTCCTCAAGCCTGGAGAGAGTTCTTCCCCTGACACCGCAAGATCCCGTCGACGTGACACCGCCCGAATTCCTCTTCTAAAGACATAACTGAAAACAACTGCTCGCTTTGGGCCCAAAGCGCTTGAATTTCAGGGGCTCTACACTTTCGTCGCACCCAACGGCGAAGAAGAACCAAAAAAGGTGGAGTCTATGCTGTGTGCGGTCCTCCGGCATCCGGCCGCGGTCTTGCTCTCACGGCGTAAGCTCACTGGCCAAAGGAAAAGCTAAAGCCGGAGGAAGAAGGCGACGACGAAGATGATGAGGAGGAGCTCGGGGAGGGCGACCCAAAGACGAACGCGGCCGGCGGTGACTCGAGGGTGGTGCTCGAGGAGGGCGCGAACGGGGTGGTCGAAGCCGTGAACATCGGGGGCGTGGCGGACACCGAGAGTCCACCGAACGCGGTTGTCAGCGAAGCGGCCGGCGACGCGTCCGATGACGCCGACGGCGGAGGAAGGAGCGCGAAGCCCTCGTGCTCGCTCTGAGTGTCAGCGGCGGCGGCAGTGACACCGCGGCCTCGTCGTGCTGCAGGCTTCTTGCCCGCGGCCTTGTGCTGGCCTGCGGTGGTCGCCGGCTTGTCGGCGGTGAGCTCCGCATGGGTCTGGACGGTGAAGGGGCTGCCGCGGAGGTGCTGGCCGTGAAGCGTCACCTCGACACTGTAGATGCCCCGGTACGGCACCGTGTAGGTCACTTCGTAGATGCCTTCGCCTGAGAAAGAAAACCATTGTACCACGTGAGTCTCGAGCAAATGAATGACATGTGCTTGTCTCGTCTACCGCCACTCCCTGCGCGCTTCACCTGTTCGCCACTCTCGCACGCATGCAGGCACGCACACACGCACGCACGTCGCACACGTTGCACACGTCGCACACGCACCGGTGGGATGTCCGTCTTTGTCCTTCTGCTCGGCCACGCGGCCCTTAAGGAAGCCGTGCTTCTCGAGCCGGGAGGCGATGGCTGAGTCGAACAGCGGAGCGTCGGGGCTGAGCAAGGACGCGTCCTCGCTGGTGGGCTTCTCGAGCTTGATCGGGAACAGCTTCACCTCGAACCGCTCGCCACCGCACGTAGGGACCTGGTCGGCCTCGTTGCGCGCCTTGACGTCCTCGTGACGTCAGCTGGTTGTCCCCTTGTCTACAGACACTGGGCGGGTGCCATCGTACCTCGATCGTGAAGCGGCACACGAGCCAGAGGGCGGCGTGATTGCGGTGGAGGTCATGCACGATACATTTGTCCGCGCAAGCGACTGGTGTGTTTGCATATCAGGGGTCAGCTCAACGTGTTGTGTTGTCTTGTGTGTTAAGAGTACGTACTCTTTCGCCTGAACTCTTCGATCTGCTCGGGCGTCAGGTGGGCCGCCAGCGCCTGCTTGCCCTCTTCCTGTGGCGCGACAAAAGAGAGGGAGAGCGCAGCAAGAAAAGCGGGCCGAGTGTTGGTGCAGGGGTCCAGGACTTGGTAGCGAGATGATGGTGATGTGGTGGGGTGGTGGTACCGATGCGAATTCGCCTCGGTTCTGGATCATGTAGTTCGACACGAGGACCTGCAGGTACTGGATCTCGTAGCGATGGCCGATCGCCAGGAAATAGCCCGCATTCTCCATGGTCAGCCCCTGCAATAAATATTCAATACAAAATCAAGCGTTTGAAAAGTGAGCCAGCGACACACAGCTTGTAGCACGCACGCACACGCACGCACACACCGCACACAATGCGCGCACCTGCTCGATGAAGGCTTCGAGGCGTTCCTGAAGCGAGAGAAGTCCGTATAGATGAGCAGCCATCAGCAGCTGCACCACCGTCTCCTCGTCGAGCTCGGGCCTTAGGTGGTTTGACGGACGGCCGACACAAAGGGAGAGTCACGACATCGATGAGAAACAGGCCGGGGGCGGACGGGTGGGCCAACAGGGAGGGGTGGTAGTACTCGGCAGCGTAGATGTAGCGGAGGACGGCCATAAGCGTCTCGCGCGACAAGTCGCGGATCTGGATCACGCCGTCGGTGGCCTCGCGCATGCCAAGCGTCAGCATGGCGCGGAAGTACGACGACCGCGCACACAGGATGGCCCTGTGCGCGTGGACCTCGGGGTGGCCCTCCACCACGAGCTTGACGTCCGAGTAGAGTGGGTTGTCGACAAACTTGAGCAGTGAGTCGGCCAGGCCGTCTTCCTCGTTGTCCTCCTGATCGGTGGCTGCCTCCTGCTCGGCCTCGGCCTGCGCATCGCTTTGCTTCGCTTCGGCAACTGCGGCTGCGGCTGCACGGGTGTCGCCCTTGAGCAAGGCGGCGACGCGAGGGGAGTGCTTGCACGCCAGGGCCTCGAGGCTGCGCAGCTCCGGCTGCCGGTCCTTCTTGAGCAGATCCCAGTTGCGGGCGATCAGCGTGAAGCAGCGCTCGTAGAAGCCCCTGAGGTCGGTCGCCGTCAGCTGCAGGTGCGACAGGTCGGCGTCGACGCCGTCGCCGGCCGCCTGCTGCCGCCCCTGCTCGCGCTCGTCGACGTCGAACGAGGCGAGGTCCTCAAGGCGCTGGCACACGCTGACGCAGTTGAGACCCATGCCGAACGTCGACTCGCAGGCCTGCTGCAGCTGCGCCGAGCCGAGCTGGCGCTTGGCCACGGTGGCCAGCTGGACCAGGACCGACAGCGAGAGCTCGGCCGAGAGCGGCTGGCCGTAGAGCCACTCAACGACGTGCTCCAGCAGGTGGTCGGGCACGCCGTCCAGCTTCAGGCGGAGAGCGCCGTCATCACCACCTGCGCTGCTTTCCTTGATCAGCCGCCTGAGAACGGGCAATCGGTGGAGCACGATCTTGTGGCACCGGAACTCGCGCGCGCCCTCTGCACCGACGAGGGTCACGTCGGAGAAGTTTTCGGTTCCGTTCGGGTCGAGGAGCGACGAGATATCCTTGGCCAGGCGCGTCTTGTTCGGATCCGTGCCGACACTGAATTGAGATACGGGCACGACTCAGCCAAACCACACACACACACACACACACGATAGCAGCAATGTCTACCTGACTGCGACAATGGTGTGATGCCAGCCGCAGGCCACTTGCGCAACGGTCACGCCATCAAGCGCCTCGACGAGGCGCGGAGCCGGCTGATCTTCGACGTCGCCATGACACAGCGCTCCCCACTCGCCCACTCCCCACGTGTACAGGCGACCCATTTCCGTCACACTGCAGACGCGCCAGAGTCAGCCACAGCCAACTGTTTTTGACCGTCGTCAGTGAAAGGGCTGCTGCGTACCAGGCGGTGTGGGTGGCACCACAGGAGACGCTGGCCACGGCGCGGCCGTCCAGCTCCATGACCCTCCGGGGCACCAGCTGGTCCTTCTCTGGGCCAAGCTGGTGCATGATCGTGCCCCTGTCAGCAACAACACATGTGAGACTCGGTAATTTCTCTAAGAGAGATATGGACATATGGACGCAAGGGCAAACGTACCAGGTGTAGAGCTGACCATCGTGAGTGATGGCGGCCATGTGGTAAGACCCGCACGCGATCGATTTGATGCCCGATGCGAGTTCGAGGTTGACCTTCTCCGGCTTGGCAACACCCCCGGCTGTAGAGCGGCCAACAACGCCGCCGCAGTGATGTCAGGCCTGGAAAAATTGCAAACATACCACTCACGTCCCATACAGCCACGCCACAACGTACCGGGCTGCCAGGTGTAGATCTCGTTGGCGGCTGTCGATCAGTAAGAAAGGGAAAAGAAGAGAAATGTTGGTGATGGCAGCATAAGAAAAGAGGCGGGAAGCGAGAGGAGGCGCCGTACAGGTGAGGGCGGCACAGATGTAGACCGAGCCAGCGAGCTGGGTCACCCCCGAGGGAATGACGAGGACGGGCTTGGGCGTCCTCCTCGTCACCACCGAACTGAACTGATAGACCGCACCCTAGTAGCACACGAGCGCAGCGAGAAAAGAGCGAGAGCAGCGGGTGAGCCAAGCAGTGCCGCCGCGGGTCACAGATAACCCGATGAACTCGTCTGACCAAGCGTTGCGCGCACCGTTTCGGTGAGTAGTACTACGTGGGCGTCAGTGCAGGCCACTGCCTTGATCTTGCCCATGCTCGCGATCGTCTGCGCAGGCAGCTCGCTCAGGCGTTGGGTCCTAGGGGTGTGTGGCCCACGACGACACATAGTGGTGGTGAGCGAACGACAACTGAGAGCCCAGAGGAAAAGAAAAGGGGGGGGGCGAATACGGGGCGTCCTCCGAAATGATGCGGCACCACTTGACGGAGCCCTTCTCCAGGAGCAACACGGCAGTCGAGCCAGCGCAGGCCACTTGCTTCACGCGTTCATTCTGCACGTCTGACGAAAGCAAGAAGAGGGAAGCAAGAAGAGGGAAGCAAGGTGCGTGAGTGACCACGCATAAGGTCAAGCTGGCCATAAGGGCAGTGGGGTCGTACTTAGGAAGCTCCGCCCGGAGGGGTGCCTACGGCGAGGCACAGGGCCAGGTGGTTAGAGCGTCAGTGTCAATTAAAGTATCAGTGAAGGGCGGGGGGGGGCAAGAAGGGTGAGTACTCGGCCTTGCAGTCGCCATTCTCTGTGATGTGGGAAGTAGGAAGAATGAATATTTAATAAATGATTAAAATAAATCAACACTGTGGATGGGTTTACCAAGAAGGAACCAGGCGTGGTAGGACGCGCACACCACCTGCCGCGTTCGTGTTGGCAGTTTCTGTCGTAGTTTGGGCTTCCCATCGTCTCTACTCACAAAGATCTCTGTAACCACGGAGCCCTCCATCTTGGCTGGGAAACTAAAACATTTGTATTATTTTCCCTTTTTCTCCACCTCCTTCGACAAATAAAATGCAGACAGCTGTGGGAAATTCACTGCGCCAGGTGAACTTGAACTCTTGTGCACACGTGATCTTCTCATGTGGAATAAGGGTTGTTGGAAGGAGCTGCAAGAGTGCTGGAGTGAGCTGAAGTTACATTGGTAAGAAAAAAGTACCTGACCAGAATGATGTGTGTGCGGTCCTGCAGCCACACCATAAACAGCCAGCCAACCTGCAAGCAGGTGAGGCCTGGCATAGAGGAATGGCCAAAACCCACTCTGGGCCAAGGTTGCCCAGGGCTGAATCAGCCAGATACTTGTTCCCCCTTCCCCACCGTTGTTTTCTTGTTCTTGGTCTCTGTGCTCCTTTCAAGTGCGTGTTGAATTTACGAGCTTGGGCAGCCACTTTCATAGAAGGGTGGGCATACAACTTATTCCAGGTTCGCCGGCTCGCTCGGGGTGGGGGAGCCAAAGGCAAACACAGAGGGTGATGAGGAAGAGGATGAAGAAGACGAAGACATGAGAGTAGAAGTCGCAGGCGCGAAGGGCGATGATGATGCGAATGGCGAAGGTGACGAGAACGAGAAGTGAGCAGTAGGCTCGCCGGGTGCAAGTGTCGCGGCGGTTGTAAAGGAGAACGAACTCGCTGGTGACGACGATGAAGCCGACGTTGGGGTAAGAGGCGGCATGGTCGAGAACGAGAACGGACTCGCCGGCGGCGATGATGACGTCGACGGAGGAGGCGGCGCGGCCGACAAAGAGAACGGCGACGATGATGATGAAGGCGATGTGGAGAGGGTGGCGCCAGGCGTTGGTTCGGGACCATTCAGGGAGAGCAAGGAAAACGAGAGCGAAGTGGATTCCTCAGCGGCGGCGGCAGCGGCACTCGATCTGCTCTTGCGGCCTCCCGGAGCTCGGTCCTTTCTCCTCGTGGCGGTGGTGGTCATGCCGGCGAGCAGTCCCGACTGATTGTAGGGGGACGAACCGGTGGCAGTGGGCGGGCTGAAGGCGAACGCGGGCAACGCCGGCGCTGCGAAGAGGGACTCGCCCCAGCACATGACGGACGCCGGGCTGCTGGTGATGTGCTCCCCGTGCAGCTTGACGATGATCACATACTGGCCGGTGGAGGCGTTGGCGTCGTCGCTCGTCGGTTTCTCGATGGTGTACTCGACCGTGAAGCCGGAGAGAGGGTTGAGCGCGACCGAAACGCGCACGTTGTCGGCCGACTTGAGCTGCTCCTCGGCGTTGTTGTCGAGCTGCCAATCGGGGTCGCTGGTGAGCGCTGCGTCCAGCGCCCGGAGCTCTTCGACCTCGGCCCGCTTGGTGGTGGCCTCAAGCTCGATCTTGGTCTCGCCCTGCAGAGCCTTCTGCGCGTCGGCGCTGGACGCCGCCTGGGCTTTGATCTTCTGCTTGAACAGCAGGAGGTCCCCGCGGTGCTTGGCCACGTTGCGCTCCCTGGCCTCACGGAGCCGTATTGTGCGCTCGGCAGTGGCGAGTTCGTCCTCGGTACGCCACAGCCGAGTGAGGAGGTCGCGCCGCTGCTGAGCGCGCACGAGCTCGCCCGGTCGCTCGCGCCTGATGACCACCTGAATGTCGTCCAGCGTCTTGCCGGCCAGGCCCGCCTCGTTGTCCCACCGGTCGTGCAGCACCACCTCGAACGTTTCTGCGGCCCGGTGAGCTGGCCGTCAAAGGGGGTGGTTGGCGGCGTCCACATACCTTTTTTACCGTAGGTAGCAGTGCGGAAACCATTGCCGAGTGCGACACAGAGACCGGGGAATGGCTAACGACAAAATCACCAGAAGAACACACGATGTGACGACCGCTCACTCGGGTCAGCAAGCGGCCACAGACAGCCAAATGACAACAGGAAACATGCACGGTACCTTATTGGGTAGGCATAGGATCTGAAAGGGTGAACCTTTGATGGGGCGTGAGGGCCTCGCCGTGGTCGAGCCAATGTGGCGACCGAAGAGCGTCAACGCATCGGACTTGAGTCCGACCTACGCATTTAGGCATCCCTCAGTTGGTTAGATGTTTGTTGGTTTGTTGGTTTGTTGGGAGTGAGGTCAAGTAAGTGACGCACAGTGAGCGGGTGCTGGCCGGCCAGGGTTGCCATTACGGAGAGGGTGTAGGTGCCATCGTTGTGGTCCTCGAGCGAAACCCCAGAGCCGTCCTGCAATGACCCGCCCCAAGGTATGAGCACACCAGCACCGCGCAGAAAAAGAAAAAAAACAAAGGAGAAACAGGGACAGGCAGCGCACCAGCGCCTCTCCTATAGTAGCCTCCCATTCCTTGCCTCCGCCTATCGACACGCGGTGGTGTGCGCGCGGTTAGCAACTACCCCAAGCGAACACGAACAGGGCAACAGAGTCCAGTACCAAGGCACTGCTGACCGAACGAGTCCTTGGCCACGAGGGTGAAGGTTCGGTACTCTCCGGCCACGAGAGTTAGCTGCTCGGCGTCGTAGATAAGCTCGCAGTCGTGGGGCGAATATTCGTGTCCGGCCTTGTTCGATAACAAATGTCAGCCGGACTGGAAGCAGCACTACACAATGTTGTTAGGGGTTCAAAGGAGATGCGTACCCAGATGATGAAAGGACTGCCTCTGACGTGCTTGCCGTAGAGAGTGACTTCGAGTCTGTAGGTGCCCCGGTAAGGCACACCATACTGCACCACGTACTCGCCTAGAACACACGACGCCCACACGACCACGGCCCACGCCGTCAAAGGTCAGAGGGCAATTTAAATTGGGTGGCTTGGGGAGAGAGACGCACCTGTGGGGTTAGCCACCTGCAGGTACTCGGTGACTCGGGCCTTGATGAAGCCCTGCTGCTGCAGCTGTGTCTTGATATCCTCGAGCAGCCGGTCGTCATATCGGTTGGCATCGAGATTGGCCATTCTCTTGTCATCGCCTTCCGCTTCCTTGTCGTCGGTGCTCGCGCTGCGGGCCGAGTCAAAATCGGAGCCGGGCGTATCGGCGAGTTCCGGCACATCGATTGGGTAGATCTTCACTTCGAACTCTTGGCCGCCAGAGGCGAGCAGGTCGCCATCCACGTTGCACGACTTGAATGGATCATGCAGACACCACACAGCCCAACGACACGACACGCCCACGATGCACGGTGTTTAATGGCGGAATCTACAAGCGCAAGGCGAAAGCTGCGGCATTATGATACCTGAATCGAAAACGTCGAGAAGCTGTTGACTGGCGCCCAGTTGATGCCGGAGCCGGCGACGAGACACTCCTGGGCACAAGAGACTACGTATCGCCACACGTCACCCCCCCCCCGGTCAGCGAATCGTATGCACATCACATCGAGGGCGAGGCCGGTCCCGTACTCTTTTGCCTGTACTCGTGCAGCAACTCTGGCGACAAGTCCTCGAGTGCCTCTTCGTTCTGTGTGGTGGTCGTGAGTGTCATGATACAAAAAAAGGGGGTTTTGGGATCACATCATGTCCGTACCGACTCGAACTCGGCGCGATGCTGGACCATGTACTCCAGGGCGAGGGCCTTGAGGTGCTGCGCCTGGAACCGGTTGGCCATCTCCAGGAAGTACCCAGCATTCTCCGCCGACAGGCCCTGCGGTGATGACGTCGGCAGTGTTACCAACCACCTTCTTGCCAACCGGCAATAATAAGAATAATAAAGATACCTGCTCGATGAACGCTTCGCATTGCTCCTGCAGAGGCAGCAGCACGTACTGGTTGGCACTGATCATGAGTTCGACCACCGTTTCCTCCTGTAACTCAACCCTATCGGAACAACCAGAAGAGATCAGCATGAGTACTTTCAACTACTGTCGAAGGGGAGCGTACTCGGCGGCGTAGAGGTAGCGAAGGATCGTTGCGAAGACCTCGTATGAAATATCGCCCACCTCGATCACGTTGGTCGTGGCCTCGCGCATGCCGAGCGTGAACATGGCGCGGAAGTGCGACGACCGCGCGCACAGAATGGCCTTGTGCGCCTGGATGTCGCGACCCTCCACGACGAGCTTGACGTCGGCGTAGCGCTCGTTGTCGACAAATGCGGCCAGCGTGCTCGACAGAGACTCTTCCTCCTCTGCCGTGGCCGTGGACTCATATTCTTCAAACATCGACGATCCGGTTGTGTTGCTCGTTTCAGGCTCGTGGTCGGGCAAAGCCGTGGTCTCTGTTGTCGCGCCTGTCGCGGCCGAAGCGCCCGCTAAGTCTGCTTGCGCGACTTCCTCAGGCATGGTCGTAGGTGCGCCTTCGTCTGATGTACCGACGGTCTTGTCCGCTTGGTCCTGGTGTCGTTGCTCGCGCACCGACCTGCTGGTCTGGTGCCGTGTCTTCTCCTTGATCATGGACTCGATCTTGTGCGAGTGCTGGCTGGCTTCGTACGCGACCGCCCGAAATTCCTCGTCGCTGCTCCACTTCTGCTCGAAGTTGAAGATGACCATCACGAAGCAGGGCGAGTGGAACCTGGCCAAGTCGCCCTGAACCAGCGGCGCCAGGCCGTGATCATCGTTGGGGCCGAGGTCGTTGCCCGCGATACCCGGGATTCGCTTCTGGAGATGCGCGAGTTCCCTCCACACGCGGCACACGTTGTCGGCATTGATGCCGGAGCCGAACGTCGCCACGACCTCCTCGAAGAACGCAGCGAATTTCAATCGCTTGGCCACGGCCGCCAGCTGAAGGTAGGTGGCGGTGGCCAGGTCGGGCGCGAGCGGGTGGCCATAGACGGCCCTGACCACGAATGGCAGCAAGCGGTCCTCCACGTCGACATGGAGGACCGGTTCGGCTTCCAGACCAGCCTTGGCGTCGTTCTCCTCGATGATTCGCTTCCATGCAGGTAGGCGCCCAAGCACCATCTTGTGGCATGCAAGACCTCGAGCACTGCCTCTGCCTGGGGGACGGGGAACACACATGTGAGACCGGTCGACCAACGGCAATGAAATGACGACAATGATCTGCAACGTAAGAGAATCGGCAATGACATACCGTAGACGGTCGCGTCGGAGAAGTTGTCGCCATCGAAAGCGAGCAGAGAGGAGATGTCCTTGGCCAGCTTCGTCTTATTGGGGTCTGCGCCAACACTGCACGTGTAGATATGCTAGCGATTAGAATGGTCAAGCAGTAAGCTGGGATTGGGCGGAAAGACTCTGACGTTACCTGACCACAGCGATCGTGTGGTACCAACCACAGGCAATGTGGCTCACTGTCATGTCTGTTCATGCATGCTTGCGATTAGCTCAAGAGCAAAGCGAGCTGACTCAGAGCCAGCATGGGAGCTACATACCGCGCAGCTCTTCAACAAGGCGAGGCGTGATCTGGTCAGCCGTTTGGCCGTGCCCCAGCGCACCCGAGGTACCCGCGCCCCATGTGTAGACGCGACCCATCTCCGTGAGACTGGCCAGCAAGCTAACGTAAGCAACAGCCGGACTGTCGAAACTGCGTTGAGGAGATCGCTGCAACATACCAGGCGGTGTGGGATGAGCCACACGAAACGCTGACCACCGGCTTACCGTACAGAGCCGCCACGCGCTTTGGAATGGCTGTCTTCTTTTCCCCACCGCCGAGGCCCAGCTGGTGCATTGAATTGCCTCCCCTGATTGAGCCAAGACCACAGCCGCTGTCAGTAAAACAGAATATCGCACCTGGCGAGCCGGGAGTCGTACCAAGTGTAGAGCTGGCCGTCGTTGGTGATGGCAGCCATGTGATAGGACCCAGCGGCAATCGACTTGATGCCCTTGTTCTCCAGCCCCTCGACTTTTGTAGGCTCGCTGCTCGGTTCCCAGGTATAGAGATCACCACCAGCTACCGAGGGGAGCAAGCTAAATGATTACACGCGGTCCGACACCACGGCATGACGCGCATGCCCAAACAAACCAACACCACTCCACTCTAAGCAAGGCTCTGTACCCGTGAGGGCTGCGAAGTTGGCCACGGAGCCTGCGATCTGCACAACGCCAACGTTGGGTGCAAAACACAGGACTGGCGCCGACACACGCACGGTTTGGTTTCCCAAGCACATGGAGGCCGTCGGCCCAGCCAAAAGCTTCACCATGAATACAGATCGCTGCAGACGGGGAGAGCGGTGAGCAAAACCAGACATGTGACACACACTTGTAGTGGAGCGAACCTCCTCGCATAGCAGGAGAACGTAGCCCTCCGTGCAGGCCACCTCTTTGACAGGCGGAAAGGTGGGGTTTTTCTCGCCGACCAGAGTCAGCTCTATGAGCGGCGGGTGGCTAAAAAAACAACCATACATGTGAGTTGTGAGCCGGTTGTGAAGGTTTCAGATCATCGAAGGAAGGCACCTGGAGTCGGAACCCACTTTGCACCACGCCACCTTCCCGCTTTCCATCAGAAGTACCGCGATGGAACCAGCACAGGCCACTTGCCTCACCCTTTGGTCCTCCACAGCTGGATGCACGAAGAGGGTGCACCCGACATGAGCGCAAGGCCGAAGGGAAGGAGTGCAAAGGCGAAGGGAGGCACGCACTAACGATGCGTCGGGCGCCACTGGGCCGCCTGTGAGAATTAAAAAAAAAAAAACCGAGACAGCGGTCGAGGTCATGATGTTAAGTCTGTACACTCATACAACGAGGCGAAGGAACGAGGAAAGAGAGGAAGGCAAAACGCACTCAGCGTAGCATGACCCGTTCTCTGTGGTGTGGAAAACAAGCCATCAATAATTTCAAGAATTGAAATAATTAGAAATAATTGGAAATAATTCCAACAAAACTAAAGAAAGAGGGGACGAACCAAGGAGGAACCAGGCGTGGTAGGACGAGCACACCACCTGCCGCACTCGTGACATGAAGTTCTGTGTGCGCTGGGGTACTGGGGTAGATGGGTGCCCCCCGCACACAAAGACCTTGGCCGCCGGCGCCTGGCCCGCGAGCGAAAGAGCCTCCGCCACCTGGGCTACCTGGGCATCCTCCGTGGTTGCTGCGGGGGCTTGCTGGTGCGACTTGCGCTTGGCACTGGCCGGTTTGTG